TCCCCAAGGAGTTCTTCCCCAGCTGTGGAAATCTGCCATTGTTCTCCCTTTCCACAAACCGGGTGCTACGGGACATTATGCCTCCCACTATCGTTCAGTTGCTCTTACCAGTGCTGTTTGCAAGGTGATGGAACATCTGGTAAATAAGACGTTTGATGTGGTATTTAGAGACACACAATAGTCTTTCCACTACTCAATATGGTTTTCGTATGGGCCGTTCTACCATTGACCCCTTTCTACACTTGGATACGTACGTTTGTAATGTCCTGCGAATAACCAATCAGTTATTGCCATATTTTTTGACCTTGAGAAGGCATATGACAAAACTTGGAGGTATAATATTTTGGACCAAGCCCACTCCTTAGGCCTCCGAGGTAATCTACCATCCTTCCTCAAGAACTTCTTAACTGCAAGACATTTCTGTGTTTGGGTTAATAATATGCTTCCCCAGGACCTGGTCCAGGCTGAAGGTGTCCCCCGAGGATGTGTTCTGAGCACAACACTTTTTCTCCTTGCTATAAATGATTTGGCCTCCATTCTTACATGCAATATTTGGTCATCACTCTGTGTTGATGACTTCGCTATAGCTTGTGCAGGTGCTGACTGTCACCTCACTGCAGTTTCTCTTCAGCATGCGGTCAATCGTGTTTCCAATTGGCCACCACGCATGGGTTTAAATTTTCCAGTACTAAAACTCACCAGATTACTTTCACTTGACATTCTGTCATCTCTGATCATCCAAACCTGACCGTATCCCAGAACGTGATACGGTCAGGTTTCTCGGCCTTCTGTTTGACCGTAGGTTATCCTGGAAACCTCACATTACCTCTCTGAAGGCAACTTGTCAAAGCCAGCTGAATTTTCTTAAAACCCTTGCTCATCTTTCACGGGGAGCTGATCGTAGAACTCCCCTTCGCTTACATTCAGCCCTAATTTTATCGAAACTAGATTATAGTGACCAGATCTATTCCACGGCCTCTCCTGCAACTCTCTCTAGCCTTAATCCCATCCATCACCAAGGATTACGTTTATGCCTCAGTGCTTTTCGTTCTTCACTGGTTGAGTCTCTATGCAGAAGCAAATATTTCATCCTTGTCCGATCATCGTTATAATCATTGCCTTCGCTGTTATGTTCCCTCTCATGACTTATGCAATCCTTCTGTATATAAGTTAGTCACTGATGTTAGTAGACATTATTTGTTCGTCGCCCCTGTTTACTCCATCTCTTTTCTCTTTGCCTACATTTGCTCTTGTCTTATCTTCAGTTACCACCTTTCTATGTTCATGTAGCTTCTCACTTTTTCCTGCCCCCTTGGGAAGTTCCAGCTGTTCGTGTCTGTTCTTTCTCACTGCCATGCGTGAAAGCCCAGCTGCCTACGGTAGCTTCTCACTCTCTTTTTCTTGACCACCACTTCTCTCATTCTCATGCCATCACAGTGTACACAGATGGTTCTAAGTCTTCTGACGGCGTCGGATTCACAGCAGTGTTTCCGGACAGTGTCGTGTGAGGGCATTTATTTTCCTCGGCTAGCATTTTTACGGCTGAATTGTATGCCATTCTTGTAACACTTACCTGTATTGCATCTATGCCTGTGTCACCATTTGCTGTCGTTTCAGACTCTTTTAGTGCTTTACAGGCTATACGAAAAATTTATACACCTCACTCCCTAGTTCTTCATATTCAACTTTGGTTATGCTGTATCTCTACCAAGCACATAAATATTATTTTTTGTTAGGTTCCTGGTCATGTTGACGTACAGGGCAATGAACAGGCCCGGTGGCCTGGTGGCTAAAGCTCCCGCTTCACACACGGAGGGCCCGGGTTCGATTTCCGGCGGGTGGAAACATTTCGACACGTTTCCTTACACCTGTTGTCCTGTTCACCTAGCAGCAAATAGGTACCTGGGTGTTAGTCGACTGGTGTGGGTCGCATCCTGGGGGACAAGATTAAGGACCCCAATGGAAATAAGTTACAGTCCTCGATGACGCACTGACTTTCTTGGGTTATCCCGGGTGGCTAACCCTCCGGGGTTAAAAATCCGAACGAAATCTTATCTTATCTTATCTTATCACTGCTGCACGGTCAGCAGCGCACGACATCCCAGTTTCAGGTAGAGTTGTTCCATTCACGGACTATTTTGCTGCAACTGCTACGCACCTTCGCACCCGTTGGCAACAACACTGGTCTGATCTGCTCCATAACAAACTTCATTCTATTAAACCGAGTATAGGTTTCTGGCCATCTTCTTGTCATCAGTGTCGAGGTTAGGAGACTACTCTCTCCTGTCTTCGCATTGGCCACACTCGTCTTACTCATAGGTATCTCATGGAGAGGCGTCCTGTCCCTCTCTGTGAGAACTGTCAGGTTCCAGTATCTGTTACCCACATCCTGTTGAACTGCCCACTCTATCAACGAGCACGCAGAATTTACCTCCAACGTCATCTCTGCTCTGCTGCCCTTACTTTACCTTCCCTTCTTGCTGATGGACCCTCCTTTAACCCAGACTCTTTCATTGACTTTTTGACAGCAACAGATTTACTTCACAAACTCTGATGATGATGCCTCTAACACTCCTCTCAGTCCTTTCTACCTCAGTCTCTTGCTACCCTCTACCCCAGCACTATCCACTGCTCCGCTGCACTCCATAACCTAATAATCATCCCTCTCCCTCTTGCTACCCAATACCCCTGCATCCTTCCCTCCCCTGCTGTGCTGTATAACCCTTGTGGTTTAGCGCTTCTTTTTTATTATAATAACAATATCTATAAATATTCATTTGCTAAACTGCGGCAGGCCAGGACTTGATGTGTATGTTGTGTTGTCTCTGGAGGCGGTACAATGTTCATAGGGTCGAGTTCTGGCCTACCGCAGTTTGGTAAATGAATTTAAATTACTTGTTTCGTGATTTAGTTAGGTTCAGAATGATTTTTGCGAAATCATTGCATACACAAGCGTTGCTATTTAAGCCAAAATCACATGTCTTACCTATTCGGCAGCGCGCGCGCGCGCACACACACACACACACACACACACACACACACACACACACACACACACACACACACACACACACACACACACACACATATATATGTCGTGCCGAATATGTAAAACTGGTCAATTAGCAAGAACTCATTTAAAATTAAGTCCTTTCTAAAATTTTCTCTTATACGTTTAAAGATATATTTTTTTCATTAATGTTGATGTAAAAATTTATAATTTTGCACCAAAAGGAACTTAGAAAACTTACCTAACCTTATTATAACAAGAACAATTTATTTTAGCCTAACCCAACTAAAAATATTTTAGATTTGTTTACAGTAATTTAATACTAAACAAACACAGTGAAATATATTTTTTTCGTTAGATTCAGAATGATTTTGGCGAAATTATTGCATACACAAATTTTCACTTGTCCTATATGACAAGATGAGCGTTGCTATTTAAGCCAAGATGGCAAGTTCTGCCTATTCGGCACGACAATATATTATAATATATATATATATATATATATATATATATATATATATATATATATATATAATCAGCAATGTGTGTTAAAATACATTTTTTTCGTAGATAAATTCTTGGTATAATGTCACCGCTCGCTGTTCTCCTGTTGGTGGTTATAAATGGTAAGACCGAAAACACATTTATTTAAGGTGACATTTCGCTGCGAGTGATCTCATCTACAAAAAAAAAAAACTGATGACGTCACTCATGGTGAAATGTTTCTTTTAACTAAAGTCCAGAACTGTGCATAAAGTTGTTTATCCTCTTAGTGGACTGAGTTCAATGTAAACAGTTTTCTGAGTTTACAGATTTCGCTTAAACTTTATTGTGGGAAAATCTGCCTCAAGGTCACAACTCCCACCGAGGTTCTAATATCTAATATTTAATAAATACAGTAAGTCGAATAAATTATAAGGTATGAACTCTTGTCTCAGGTAGTGACCTGAATTTAACTTAGTGTAAACACACCTCATCACATTTTAAGTTTTATCAGTTCTTGAATACTTAAATCATAAATAAAAAAAAAATGACTGAGGAATACTAGATCAGATATTTGCCTTTGGAAGGGGTGTTAATTATAGGGACTTGATATCTTATAGGAGTGTTTCGAGCTGAGGCTCCGGAAGTAGGTGGAAACTACACTACCTCTGACCAACAACCTAACTAACTGGCGAAATTATCTAGAAGTGCAGAGGCGACCTAGGAACTGCCTGACCAATGAAGCCATATATTGTTCAGGGCGCATCCAGACAACACCGACCTCGGGACCTGGAACACTGCCGAATATGTAAAAAAAAGTATATCACATTCATAAGGTGTTGATAGAGAGTAAAAGCACCAATAATGTTATTAAAACGTTGTAGATTTTGGAATTTTCATTGTTGAAAATAAGAGAGCCTAGTTTGGCCTAACTAGTAGACTTAGACCCCGAGGAAACAACCCTGACTTGTTGAAAATGGTATGAAATACCGACAAGTTGAAGATTAAGACACATGGGCAATAGTTGTGCAGTTTTATTGATGAAACGTTTCGCCTACACAGTAGGCTCCTTCAGTTAAGTACAAAGAAAGCAGTAATAATGAAATATGGATGATGTAATTAGTCCATCAACCTTGGAGAAAAAGTATTTAAGGTGGTCAGTCTCTCAGCCTGAAGAAGAGTTCAGCTCCACGGAGCTGAACTCTGTCTTTCCTCACCTTGACAACGCCATCTTGTTTCTGCCTCGAAGTATCAGAATCTGTGTCGTAATATTATTGATATTAACAATTTAATTTGAAGTAGCCACACAGTATGTAGACTGTCATTAAATTAAGTTCTGATCGGGGCAACAATTACTGGGGTGAATACACGAACAGGTATACATGAAAAGTTATGAATTTGAAATTTTTACTTGTTTTAGAAATGTCAGACAGCCTAGGGTAAAATAGGAATTAACTAGTAACCATACATTTAGGGTATAAATCTATAATTTAACTTTCCTTTACAGGTAACCAGGCGTCTCGTAGTACAAGGGGTCACTGCCAGACCCCAGGCTCAGGGACGAGCTTGCTGGGGTACTAAGCTGAGAAGACCCAGCCAGGGGGACACTCCTCCATATATCAAGTAAGTGTTTCTCTTGTGTCGTCGTGCACGATGCCGTCACACTGTTGGTCATTCGTTCATTTTTACTCAGAAAAAATAACAGTTCGGGGAATCTTTGAAGGCAAGATTATCACCTCACTCTACGAAGGCAATATTCACTTCATAAGAAGGAAGCTATTATTATTATTTATATCATTAATATATTGACTCTCCAGCGATGTTTTTACACAGTTTATCGTTCAGGAAGACATAATGGCCTCGTATATTTTGTTACCTAATATACTGAAACATCCTAAGTACATCTAAACAGTATTAATATAAATTTATACGCATTGAATTTCTGAGATGTATATAGGGCAAGTCATGGAATAAAATTTATCTGGCCTGTGGACGGCACATGAGTCATTGTCAGTTTAATTCACCAGTTCAGTAATATCAAAAACACTTTCAAAAAAAAAAAAAAAAAAGGGGGGGGGGCTTAACCTTTATTGTAAATAGATATAAATATAAGTATTGGTGCGATACAATCACAGTAAACAGGTGATATCACAATATGCAAACAACCACAGTGAGGAAATTGTGAACTTTGTGATTTTTCACATGTTTTGCATCCCAGGTGAATGGGATACATAGGAGACGGTAATGTTGAACTGTCTCACGAAATCGTAATGACACGAGTGCAAACAAACCATACCACGGGTGGGAATAGAACCCGCGGTCAGAGAGTCATAACACTCCAGACTGACGGGATCCATCCCCGCCCGTGGTATAGTATGTTGAACTGTGTTGTTATGATCTCTGACCGCCCAAGTTTTATTCAATCACTTGTAGTAACTGGTGTATATACCTTTGTGATAAATGTTCCTCAAGGGGTTGCCTTGCTGCTGCTGAATGATTCTTGATCCAAGGAATTGGATCAAGTCATACGGTCCAAACCTAGGTCCCATTCACCAGGCAGTGTATGATCCCTTGGGGGTTTAGCACCATTCCATGTAATATATAACAGTGTTGATGTTCTAAGCTTAGTCAAGTAAATTCTGTATCAGTATAATTATTACTTTATTTTACAATTTAAATATTAGAGTTGATATAACTAAACGGCTCTTTCATGAACATTATTAAATTTGATTTCAAAATATGTGCTGTCAAATACCTTCCTCCATCATTGCATGTTGTCCGGAAATGCAGAGTTTTGAGTTAACAAAGCTGAGACCGCCAGTCATGAATGGTTATACATGTCGGAGGTAACCATAACGCTGCCCTCCTGCCTGGGTCACGAGTCGAAATATTTTACTAGTCAAGACTCTGCAGGTGAGCCTTGGCACACAACGGTAACCACTGACTCAGCGGTTCCCAGCCTGTGGTCCGCGGAACCCTGGGGGTTCACAGAGGTAGTACTTGGGGTCCACAAAGGTAATACTGGGGGTCTATAAAGGTAGTGCTGGGGGTCCACAAAGATAATACTGGGGTCCACAAAGGTAGTACCGGGGATCCACAAAGGTAGTACCGGAGGTCCACGAAGGTAGTACCGGAGGTCCACAAAGGTAGTACCGGAGGTCCACAAAGGTAGTACCGGGGGTTCACAAACGTATTACCGGGGATTCAGAAAGGGACTACCGGGGGTCCGTGAGCCAAGTTCAATTTGAAGAGGTTACAGTGTAAAATGTATAATTACTCAAGATAAACTTTCAAAATTTCGAAGCCGTTGTCAAATTGGCGGGGTGAGTCTAATTTTTTTAACGTTTTTTTTTTTAAGGTGTTGGTTTTATTTTACGAGATGGGGAATGGAACATGGCAAACCTAAATCAAATAATGGAAAATTCTGGTAGCACTTCCAACTGCTTCCGTTATAGACTGTTACTGTGTTAGTACGCTTATATAAAACAATATGAGAGATGATACTAGGTAAATGAGTTTGTTGTTAGTAAAGTCGGCTTGCTGGGTAGACAGACCTTTCAAAAATCTCGGGTCCCTGGGAAAATTAGAGTTACTAATTTACTTATATGTCATGTACACATTTACCCACCTCTTGTAGTTGGAAAAGCAGGTAGAGATGATTAAAAATTGGCTCGACCTGATGTTAAGACACGACCTGGGGTCCTTGGTGGTGAAAAAATTGGGAACCACTGCACTAGCTGCTCATTCACACCACCAGAGGCACTAGTTGATGGAGCGTGTCGCTGTGAGGAGCAAAGTTTCGTCTCTTAGACTGCTCTAGCGGCCCTTCACTGTTGCTTAGTCTACTTGGAAGTTGTCATCAGTGTTGCAGTAGTATGTACTACGCCCGTAACCCAAGTGGAAACACCTTGCTGTCCCTTATTAAAGAATGTCTTGTGTCAAACCATACCACGGGTGGACGGTCTGGAGTCATAAACTCCAGACCGTCGTGTAAGCCACTGGTATGGTATGTTTGCAATCGTGTCATTACAATTTCGTGAGTAATGTCTTGTGTCGTATGTAAGTTAGTCAGAAAATATAACTTTTGACAAAAGCCATAATGCTAATGATTGTATTTGAAGTTTTCACTGTAGAAGTGTTTAGTGTGTGGACGACGTAAGAATTTGGCTCCTCGAAATTAAAGAAACCAGTTCCTCTACTTGTTATTAGTCGATATAATACAAGAATTTAGTCCCCCTGCCATCTCAAGCTGGCACTTATTGAAGACATGCTGACCTAATTGTCTGCCCCTCGTCCAGAAGACGAGGAGTTGTATAACACTTGGAGAAGACAGCCTAGTGGTGAGGAACACAGCCTAGTGGTGAGGAACACAGCCTAGTGGTGAGGAACACAGCCTAGTGGTGAGATGAAACAGCGCCTAGTTGTCGCGTCCAAGCTAGTGGTGTAGGAACACTAGTGGGAGGAACACAGCCTAGTGGTGAGGAACACAGCCTAGTGGTGAGGAACACAGCCTAGTGGTGAGGAACACAGCCTAGTGGTGAGGAACACAGCCTAGTGGTGAGGAACACAGCCTAGTTGTGAGGAACACATCCTAATGATGAGGAACATAGTCTAGTGGTGAGGAACACAGGCTAGTGATGAACACAGCCTAGTGGTGAGGAACACAGCCTAGTGGTGAGGAACACAGCCTAATGGTGAGGAACATAGTCTAGTGGTGAGGAACACAGCCTAGTTGTGAGGAACACATCCTAATGATGAGGAACATAGCCTAGTGGTGAGGAACACAGGCTAGTGATGAGGAACACAGCCTAGTGGTGAGGAACACAACCTAGTGGTGAGGAACACAGCCTAATGGTGACGAACATAGCCTAGTGGTGAGGAACACAGCCTAGTGGTGAGGAACACAGCCTAGTGGTGAGGAACACAGGCTAGTGGTGAGGAACACAGCCTAATGGTGAGGAAGATAGCCTAGTGGTGAGGAACACAGGCTAGTGGTGAGGAACACAGGCTAGTGGTGAGGAACACAGGCTAGTGGTGAGGAACACAGGCTAGTGGTGAGGAACACAGGCTAGTGGTGAGGAACACAGCCTAGTGGTGAGGAACACAGTCTAGTGGTGAGGAACACAGCCTAGTTGTGAGGAACACATCCTAATGATGAACATAGCCTAGTGGTGAGGAACACAGGCTAGTGGTGAGGAACACAGCCTAGTGGTGAGGAACACAGCCTAGTGGTGAGGAACACAGGCTAGGGGTGAGGAACACAGCCTAGTGGTGAGGAACACAGCCTAGTGGTGAGGAACACAGCCTAGGGGTGAGGAACACAGTCTAGTGGTGAGGAACACAGTCTAGTGGTGAGGAACACAGCCTAGTGGTGAGGAACACAGCCTAGTGGTGAGGAACACAGGCTAGGGGTGAGGAACACAGCCTAGTGGTGAGGAACACAGGCTAGGGGTGAGGAACACAGCCTAGTGGTGAGGAACACAGTCTAGTGGTGAGGAACACAGTATAGTGGTGAGGAACACAGTATAGTGGTGAGGAACACAGTATAGTGGTGAGGAACACAGTATAGTGGTGAGGAACACAGTATAGTGGTGAGGAACACAGGCTAGTGGTGAGGAACACAGGCTAGTGGTGAGGAACACAGCCTAGTGGTGAGGAACACAGCCTAGTGGTGATGAACTTGCAGCCTTGAGCCAGACACTGCTGCCAGTCACGTTCAGAAGAGCAACGATCCATCACTCTCACGTTCATTCAGATTCTTGGTATTCGTGATGTGGCCTGAATTATTGTTATTATTTATTACCATACACATTTTGCAGGTGGTGTCACTCATTGTAATAGCAGATCACGAATGTTAAAAAAGAACTTATAATCAGCTGGTACAAAGTAAACAGTATTTATAGTACAATTTATTAAACACCATAGAAAGTTGTACTAGAACTTTGTGAATGCTGCTCACAAATTATTTTTCCTGTTTAGTAAGCAGTAGTTGACACATATTTACCTTGGCAGAGCAGCGCTGTGTCAGTCTGTGGTGGTTAATGTTGCTTCATTGAGTCTCAATCTGTTAGCCACAACTATTAGTTGTCCAGATGGAGCGCATCAAGGGTACGGTACTTGGTGCTGCAGTACTCGGTACCCAGTAGGTAATACAGTGGTAGACTGTAGCCACAATATTTAAATACAACACATTTTAATGTGAAGACATTTCATCCACAAGGAACTTCATTATTTCGCACACAGATTAACACATGGGTTAATATAAATGGTTTAGGAAAACCACTTAAATACACAGCATCATCTTAGGATCTTGATACAGGGAATTCTTCATTGCTTGCCTAATCTATAGGTATGACCTACATATACTAGTGGGTTTTTCCACTGGTGTCGCCGTCTACGACTACTTCACTTCATCTGTCTGTGGTATATAAGCCACTTCTTTGCGGATATACTGTGTTTTTATCAAAAATGATGGATTGAACACATCTCCAGGCTGAGGGATTGATTGCCTCAAACTTTTCGATTTCCACCGTTCTTCCCTGCCTTAGACTGAGGAAGCCACTGGCTGGCGAAACGTTTTTAATAGGTGTTAGAGGTGAAAGAATTATGTCACATAGTTTGGT